ACCTGGAGGGGGGGGGGGGGTGTAATATAGATCATAATTACTTTATTACACTTGTAATCAGTCTTAATAGTAATACAAAATGATTGTATTTATTTTTATTACACATATTGTTTAGTGGTGGATGGTAACAGATAGCTGATTTGAAAGATGTATGCTCTTATTTTAAGCCCATAGCAATTTTGCGGTGTTTATATGTTTAGTACTCGTGACATTTCAGGGAATGGTCATGTCTAACAACAGACAGAGTTTTCTTCAGATATCTTAATGTGAGTGTTTATGATTTGAAGCCGTTGTAAGGCAAAATAGAAAAAAAAATAATAATGTAAATCAGTTTGCAACCCAAGCTCTAACTGTATTGCTAAACATAGGGGTCTATTCACGAAGCTGCCGAGGGCAGCCGAGTGAATGACCGATCTGAAGTAAAGTGAGCCGAACACTGTTCGGCTATTCACTTCAGGCTGGTACGGCTAATTTCAGCCGTACATCGGCTGAAATCAGCAGTACATCGGCTTGCTTCGTGTGGCTTCGGGTCGGCCGAACATGCTCAGCATGTTCAGCCGACCCGAAGTGCAGAAGGAGTTCGACTCAGCCGATCCAACATCTGGATCGGCTGAGCCGAACCTCCGGCAGGCTACTCGCTGCTGTTCGGGCTATTCTTAAAGATCCCGAACAGCAGTGAGTGAATGTTCGGCTGTTCTGCTCGGTCTCTCAGAGGGACCGAGCAGAACAGAAAAAGAGTGAAAAAAAGTTTAAAAAGTAAATAGCAAACGATTGTGCGAAGCTAGCAGTGACAGCTAGCTCCGCCCAATAGTTTCCTATTGTCCGGCGGCTCTGCTGCTGTAAAAAAAAAAAGAAACAAAACTCTGCCGGGCGCTCTGGGAGCCTCCCGATCCCGGCCGCCCAGGAGAGAAGCACTGATGTGTCTTTTTTTTTCTTTATTCTGACACGATCGATGTCAGAATAGAAAAAAAAAAGAAATGTTCCCATTAAAAAGCATTGGGACATTACTATTGGCTATTTCAATTTGCAATAGCCCATAGTAAACTAGCATTGTTCCCGCCCTCTGCTGATGGACCTGATGGGGAACTGCATGGGGAATCTTTTTTTTTTCTATTCTGACATGCTCGTGTCAGAATAAAGAAAAAAAGACACAGTGGTGTTTCTCTCCTTGGCGGCCGGGAGCAGGAGACTCCCGGGGCGCCAGGGAGAGTTTGCTGTTTTGAGATCAGTGTCCCTGGTTAGCAGGTAACCAGGGACGCTGATCTCACTGCAAGTGGCCGGAGCCAGCCGTAAGATCACGGCTGGCTCCGTCCAGCTGTCAGAAGCAGGCCGAGCTGGGGGGCCTGCTTCTGACATCACTCAGATCACAAAAATATATTTTTCTGAACTTTCAGGTCTTTTAAGGGATACAACACAGAACAATGTATTGCATGTACTACACTTTTTTTAAAATGTTGCCTTGATATACGCTTTAAAGAGATGGGATTATAAGTTTTGGGTGCAAGTAAGTAAGTCCACCAGAATTTATATGGATCAAACCTAAATATATTTTGCAAAACTTTGTGTACCGTTTAGGAGGACCTAGACTCAACAGATACTTCAGTGGTCATCAGCTCTTGTTCACTGACGGAAGCACGTCACCTGCTTGACAATTTTTTACGTGCATCTATAGATAAGGTAAAATTAAAAAAATTGTGAAATATGAGTACATACAATAGAACTGTAAATCAGGAGTCTTTCTTCACATAATAGTCATGTATAAAGGTATTGCCTCTTTTGTCAGGGCTTACAAGTGGCCCAAAAGGAAGCTCAGATCAGGATCCTGGAAGCACGGCTTAGACAGAGTGATATGGCTGGGTTCACACACAGTCAAATGCTGCTGGAAAGATCAGAGTGCCAATCCACGCTGAATGGTGAGAATACCTTTAATATGCTTGAATTTTTACTGTGGTTTCAGATGAGAGTTTTGGATAAAGTAGGGGGTGGTTAAAATCCATGTCAGGATTTTTGGCCTATTGGAGAGATTTCCCTTTACGGACACAACAGCAAGTTGTGGGAATTCGCTCTTAGGCAGTTCTTACTGCAACCAGTGACCCCATTGGAAGGCTTCCTCTCTATTCCTATTCCAGTGACCATTTTGGATTTCCCTTGCTTTTAGTCTCGGTGATAATGAACAGTAGACCAAATGGAGAGGGTGAATTTACCCAGCGGGGACAATTACAGCAGCAAAAACCTGACAGGGTTAATAACCCTTCCCTACTATTAGACAAACTTTAATCGTTGATTAGTTTTATGTAGCTAATTGTGTGAATATAATTCTATACAATGATTGTGTTACAGAGAATGGTTATGCCAGCACAGATGAGGAGGTGTCAGAAATTAGCCAAATGTCTGATGGAAGGTAGGTTTATGAATTAGCAGCATATTAATTAGGAAAAATGTATTTCTTATGATAGCACAAAGTTCTTAGTACACAATACATAAGCTTCTTAGTGTGCCTTTTGTTAAACAGACAGGCTGGTAGGCTTCTTAAACACATTCTTTAAAAGCCTTCCTAAAAGATCCTAATACACAAAAAATGCAATGAATTGGGTAATGTACTTGCCAAAACTTTTAAGCTCAAAAGCTCAAAGCCCCTATCAACAGTCATCATATCTGGCTATGTCAGATCATATCAAAATTATACCATTCACCAATGAACTATATGCTTACTGTAAGGGGGAAAGACTCACTTTTCAGTATGTCAGTATAAGTGGCAGTGGAAGTGATAACCATAACTCGTGATTGCCTGCAGCTCCTTAGTATATGCCATCAAGTAGACATGCAAGATTTGTTTTGTTTTGAAATTAAAATTCGGATAAATTTCTGCAAATTTGGACATTCGGATGCATCCAAATGAAAAATAACGAATCCAAAAGTATCCGAATTTTTGATAACGAACATTTTGGCTGCATCCAATTTTTTTTCCGAATATCATTCAGAATTAATTTATGTTGTTAAAACAGCACAGAGTCCCCTCCCAGATTCATACCAGACCCCTTAGGTCTGGTAGGAATTTTAGGGGGGATACCAATGCCAATAAAAAAAAAGCGTGGGGTCCCCCCTAAAATCCCTTACCAGACCATTGATGCAAGCAGCAGTGTGGCGGAGCAGAAGGGGGGGGCGCCCCCCTCCTGCACCATACCAGGCCACATACCCTCAACATGCGGAGGATGCTTTGTCAATAGGGAACCCCCTGGCAAAGCACCTTGTCCCCATGTCGATGGGGAGCTTATAGGAATCTGCCCCATTTATGAAAGATGCCACTACCTCTTGTAAATGAGTAAGGGGTAGTTGTTATCCCTACTCATTGACCAGGCAATGTTTTTGACAAGTCTTTTATTAAAACACAAACAAATGTCGATCAATGTAATCCAAAAGTCAAACACGTTGTCCAGCAATGTAGAGCCACACCAATCATGATGGACGACAGCCGGCGACTTGCTGAAAGAAAAAATACCTGACAATAGCATTCGGGAGCAGAGGTGTCCTAACGTGCCTGGTATGAATTGCCTCAAACTGTTTTAAAAAGAGAAAAAGGAAGCATTTCATGTAAATTTGCTGCAACAAAAATTAATTCGTAATTATTGTTTCCTCCGAATACAGAAAAGAATTGACTTTCAGACCCAAATCCCAAAAAACTCACATGTCTCGTCAAGGACTTTTGCTTTTAACACTTTTATCACTGTGTATAAGTAGGGAGACTTCAGGATGGGTTAATTTTGTGTAGCCTGTCTTTAAAGTTAAAATCTAATATGCTTATATTGTTCTCTTTGTTACTTATTTCCCCCTCTTATCAACATGCTTATGAAATTTTAAATGCAACCTTTCCATTTATAATACCTCTCATAACTGGAGATGGATATCAGCTGCGGAAGTCACTTTCTACAAGTCCAAGAACACCTTTCCTTCACTTCACAATATATGACAGTCAATCTTTGAATAAACTTGTCTCAGCAGTAATAACGTGTAATATTTGCATCACATCACAGAGGAGAGAGATAATGAGTTTGAATGAGCATGTATCAGCAGTGTTAACTCATAATGTTCACTTCACATCTCAAGGAGTAAAAGTCAATAGTTTGAATGAGCAAGTAACAGCTGTGGTATAGAGCTATCTCTCATTCTGGATAGAGAGAGAGCGGAGGTGCACAGAGCTTGTCCGGCGTCCGCGTTCATTGCAGGAACGCCTGACAAGTGAAAATGGCGGCTTAAGCTGAGGAAGAGGGCGGAGCGGTGTGACGTCGGGGGACCGGGGGTGGAGCCACCCTGCGTGGCCGAGACCCCGGAGAGGTGAGTATACTGGATCTATTACAGTACCCCCTCCTTATGGAACCCACTCCGTGGGTTGCAGGCCTCAGCGGATGGCGTAAATGGAACCTGCGAACAAGCAGAGGGGCATGCACAGTTGACGCGTCTTCCCAGCAGTCTTCCAGCGGACCATATGACTTCCAGCATGTGAGATACTGTAGTTTTTTCCGAATTCTTCTGGAATCAAGAATCTCCTCAACCCCGTATTCCTCCTGCCCTTCAACTGTAACCAGAGGTGCCAGCGTTGGATTGCGATTAGAAGGCGTCTTAAGGCCCAGATTTCAGGTAGATAGCCAGACCAAGTCCCCAATTTGATATTGAGGGGACTCCTTCTGAGGTCATAATAGTGTTTCTGCCTCTGCTGGGCTTTTGCAATGTTCATCTTCAGGAATTGATTGGTCCACTGGAGACGCTGGAAATAGTCCTCAGTAGCAGGGTTATTTGATGGAAGAACTTGTGGAGGAATAAAAGAAGGATGGAAGCCGTAGTTGGAGTAGAACAGAGTTTGACCTGTAGTGAAACTAAGTGAGTTGTTATAGGAGAACTCCGCTAAGGGAAGTAAGGTATGCCAGTTGTCCTGCAGATGGGTACAGTAACAGCGGATATACTGTTCAAGACACAGATTGATCCTCTCAGTCTGGCCATTGGTTTGCGGGTGGTAAACGCTTGACAGCCAGTGATCGATTTGTAACTTCAAAAAGAGGGCCTTCCAAAACTTAGAGACAAACTGGGAGCCCCTATCAGAGATAAGGGTCTTGGGAATCCCATGTAACTTGAGAATATTAGCATTAAAGGCGTCTGCAGTCTCTGAGGATGTAGGTAATTTCTTGAGTGGAACACGATGGGCCATTTTAGTTAGAAGATCAATGGCCACGAGTATGGTAATGTAACCATCAGATGTAGAAAGATCCACAATTAAATCAAGAGATACGCCGTGCCAGGGATTGTCTGGAATGGGCAAGTTAACTAATAGACCGTAAGGTGGTTTGGCAACATGTTTGGCACAGGCACAGGTCTCACATGAATTAACATAACTGTGGACTGTGTTCTTCATCTGAGGCCACCAAAAGTGGCGGCGGATCAATTAAAGGGCCATTTGAATCCCAGGCTGTCCCGCCAAGAGGGCATAATGGGAACTCTTGAGAATTTGGCACTGAAGAGGGGGAGGTACATATAACCTGTTATCCTTATATAAGAACCCCTCTGTGTCCTCCTGTAAGTGGGGAGGACGTGGTTCTGTTTCGAGGGCCTCTTTTATCTGCTCCTTTAAAGAGAAAGTTGCATTGATGTTCTTCTCAGGAGGAACAATGCAGGTAGGATGAGGCAAAAAATGGGGTGGTTCATCTTTTCTGGACAGAGAGTCTGCCTTGCCATTCCTTGCACCTGGCCTATAGGTAATGATGAAATTAAATCTGTCAAAAAAGAAGGCCCATCGTACTTGTCGGGATGACAATGTTTTAGTCTTCTGAATATATTGAAGGTTTTGGTGATCCGTGTAGATTACAATGGGTAATGTGGAACCCTCCAAGAGGTGCCTCCAGTTTTCCAAGGCGGCCTTGATGGCTGGTAACTCCTTCTCCCCAATGGAATAATTAATTTCGGCATTTGTTAGTGAACAAGAATAGAAAGCTACTGGGTATAATGGGAGTAGCGCGGATTCCTTCTGAGAAAGAAACGGCACCAATCGCCAGGTGGGAGGCATCGACCTCAAGCGTGTATAGTAACTGAGGGTCAGGTAGTCTGAGGATAGGTGCTCCTGTGAACCGGTCTTTTAGTTCTTCAAAAGCTTTCTGGGCCTGAGAGTTCCATAGGAATTGTGATCTTGTTAATTGAGTCAGAGGTTTTGCTATGGATGAGAAATTTCTTATGAATTTGCGGTAGAAGTTTGCGAATCCCAAAAAGAGTTGTACTGCCTTCCTTGTGTGTGTAGTAGGCCAATGTAGGATACAATCTATTTTACTTTGATCCATCTGGATGCCATTTTTTGACACGATGTATCCCAGGAATGAGATAGAGGAGGCCTGAAAGATGCATTTCTCTAAATTAGTTATTTACATTCAATACAGGAGTGGTGATACGACAAGTGTCTTGACAGAATTGGGAATTGAATGCTAATGTGAAAGTCTCCCAGAGGGGAGACGTGGGATACCCATGCCCTGGTTACAACTACACCACGTGGGATGGTGTAGTTGTAACCAGGGCAATCCCAGAATAATGGGAAAATGTGGAGAGGGAATGACATCAAAAGTTATGTATTCTACGTGAGCTAACATTAGGAGTGCTTGGGTTTGATGAAAAATAGGCCCTGATGGTAGTGTAGCTCCATCAATAACTCGTACAGAAACAGGAGTGGGTTTTTTGAATATAGATATTTTATTCTTTTGTACTAATGAAGCATCAATAAAGTTTCCACGCGCCCCGGTGTCCACCATGGCTTCAAGGCTTATCCTTTGTTGGTCCCACTGCAAAATTACATCAAGTTTGAAATAGTTAGTAATTTGTGAATTAGTGGTTCATAGTTTGAAATGAGAGGGTGACTCAGCGCTAGTTTTCTTTTTTAGGAGCGGACAGTTCTCCACTATATGTTCTTATACCCCACAGTACATGCATAGACGCAGGCTCTTCCTGCGCAATCTCTCCGCCTGAGAAAGGGGTCCTTGGATTGCCCCAATTTCCATGGGGACAATGGGATCACTCACCAGACTTCTATGAGGGGAGTATGAGATACCAGTTGCTCTTTCTGACCTCCTCTGTCTCAGATGCCTATCTATAGATATGGAAAGTTTGATCAGGAATTCTAAAGATGTGGGGAGCTCAGTCTGGACTAAGTCGTCTTTTATAGTCTCGGATAGCCCCAATCTGAATTGCTTATGCAAGCTGATGTCGTTCCACTCAGATTCAGTGGACCAACGCTTAAATTCGGCAATATAATCCTCCAACGGTCTCTTGCCCTGTTTCAGAGAGCGCAAGGCGGATTCGGCAGAGATCTTTTTGCTGGGGTCATCATACAACAGTGACATTGCCTCACAGAAACTGGTAAATGAATGCAGAATTGGATCTTCCTTTTCCAGGAAAGTATTGGCCCAGGCTCTTGGTTCCCCCCACAGGTAAGAGATGTGGGGGGAACCAAGCAGACCTTAAATTTGTCGTAAGTCCTGGGTTTTAGGTCATACATTAGTTTTCATGCACAGATAAACGCACGGTAGGTCTTCCTATCCCCAGAAAAAGATCCGGGGGACTGACAGTAGGTTCTGGTGGCTCAGGAGGGGGAGCTCTGTTAATAAGATTCTGTGAAATGAAAGCTCTGAGTGTCTGGTTTTTGGCTTGCACTTCATTTACTTTTAGAGTGAGGGCCTCTAACCTTTGGTTAAATGCAACCATATGTGATCGGACACCCGCTGGCTCCATACTTAATTTTTTAGGTCCCTGCAATCTATAATACCTTTTTTTGACTGGAGATGGAACTCAGCTGCGGAAGTCACGTTCTATAAGTCCAAGAACACTTTTCCTTCACTTCACAATATATGACAGTCAAACTTTGAATAAACTTGTCTCAGCAGTAATAAAGTGTAACGTTTGCATCACATCACAGAGGAGAGAGATAATGAGTTTGAATGAGCATGTATCAGTGGTGTTAACTTATAATGTTCACTTCACATCACAAGGAGTAAAAGTCAATAGTTTGAATGAGCAAGTAACAACTGTGGTAATTTGTAATTTTCACTTCACATCACAAGGATAAGTATCAATAAGTTTGAATGAGCATGTATCAGCAGTGATAATTAATAATGTTCAATTCACATCACAAGGATAAGTGTCAGTAGGTTTGAATGGATAGAAATCAGCTGTGATGATCAATACTTGCGGTTAGCTGTATAATGCATGGTCTAGTAACCAGGGGAGACTTCCATGAAGGGGTCTGAATCCTGACTTTAGAGCAGTGGATCAAAGGCAGGATTGAGGTGTCCAGCAAGTTTCAGCAGTCCAGAGGGAACAGGAGTGCAGCAGTGCTCTGGAAGGAGGGTATAGAGCAACATCTAATTCAGGATGGAGAGGGGAGGTGCACAGAGCTTGTCCGGTGTCCGTGTTCATTGCAAGAATGCCAGGCAAGTGAAAATTGCGGCTTAAGCCGAGGAGGAGGGCGGCGTGACGTCGGCGGACCAAGGGCGGAGCCACCCTCCGTGTCCAAGACGCCGGAGAAGTGAGTATACTGGATCTATTACACTATTTATATTCTTATTTTCCACCCAGTGATGTCATCAATGTGTATCTGTGCCTCCCTATGCAATACAAGCAGATCATGGCTGGAGGGAGGGGCCTGCAGGGTTTTGTACATAGCTTCTTTAAAATATCACAGCACCCTTCCTTGGTACTCCTGTCAAGAGCCCTCAGCCTTGATTTAAGTAGTGGGTTGGCTCTTAGGAGGACTTATTCAAATCTCAAATTGCATTAATTGGTGGGTCTCAGTCTAGAGGAGTGGGTGTTCCTATGCATAGGTAGTGCCCTCATTGATGCTGAACATCCATTATTGAAAAAACTTAAATCCAATATTTATTGGATTCAAGGGGCAGGCCAGGAACAGTAAGGTTGGTGAGAAAAGGACATTTCACTACAGGAAAGGTACAACTATGCAAGACTGAAGGGAAGGCTGGAGTTCCTTCTTTAAATCAATTCCCCTCCCACTAACTTGTGTGTAGAAATTCAGTGGCAACTACTGCAGACCTTCTTTTGAAATTGCTGGTTGAATGGCTATTGTGCTCTCCAGAAAGGACTAGGAACGTTTGGCCTGAGTTGCATACAAAACCAATTGGCTCTTTCAGAGTACAGTAGATCCTGTCTACTTGCAGACCTTACCTGCATGGGGAGTATAAATTGTCCACCACTAACCTAGATTTTAGTTCCCTCCTGAAAGTGTGTATATTGTTCTAAGTGCTGGAATCTGTGGGGACTGGTAGGATTTTGGTGGCGACAGCAAAACACCTTTACTTACAATTACTTTCCTGAGTCTCATGAACCACAAGCCACCAGTTATCTTGCGCAGTGTTGAGTTAGGGTAGTTTGGGTCCACTAGAGCAGTGTTTTTCAACCTTTTTTGTGCAAAGGCACACTTTTTTCATGAACATTTTAACAGGAGCATAAAATAAGGTGAAGGTAAATTAAAACTAAAATTTCACAATTGTTACAGGGATGGGGAGGCAAGGGGAAATCTTTTCGTGGGAACATCTGTTTCAGTAACAGCTGTCAAAGGTGGGAATTCCCTTCACTTTGGCAGAATTTATCTTTCATTTCCTGTTGTGAAATATCCTCAATATGCACTATATAGCACTGCATAAACGCTTAGCCTGATCCAGTCTCAGTAGGGTTTTCCAATGAACCTTGTAAAGAATGAGAATGAGAACATTTTCAGCTCAAACGTACCTAGACGATGCAGACCTTCTAGCTATGATAGATCATAAAATAGTAATCAGTTTTTTTCAACCTCTCACTGCAATTTCTATTTTTCCTAGTGCCTCACTTTCCTTCTCAATGAAAGGATCAAATAGCCATGATGATTTTAAATGGAAGGTAAAACTTAAAATGAAAGCAATAAGTGTATTTAGTTCTGTCCAAAGGATTTTTAACAGAGGATGTAGGTGTGGATTATAAATATATATTTCCGTGCTTTACAGGGAGAACCTCGCCTTTCATGGCAATTGAAGGCGGTCTCTGCAGAATCCCTCAGCCCTTTGCTTGACGCCTCAACCAAAAATATCACCAAGTCTTTGGCATCTTTGACTGATATTCTAGAAGATGTTGGGGGGTTTTCACCCAGATCGCTGCGGGGCAGAGGCTCACACAGTTTTACGCTGCCACTGCGGGGAAACACATTGTAAGTCTAAAACTGAAAAAATTACTTGTTGGGGAAGTGGGACCCCTCCCTACTCCCACCTTATGACTATACAGTGAAAGTAGAAGCAGGACAACGATGAGTTAAGCTCTGTCACACTGCTCTCTCCACCCATTACAATGGCTCATTTGCCCCTTGCCTTTGTTATAAAAAGATACAAGACAAAAGGAGGAAAACGTATGCTGCCATGTATACACTACCAGTCAAAGTTTTAGAACACCCCTATTTTGCTAGTTTTTATTAAAATGCAAACAGTTCAAATCCAGTGAAAAAACTAAAATGGTACAAAGGTAAGCAGTAAACTGCGGAAAAAAAAGTACAGTAAAAAAGACAGTATTGTACTGCAGGAAGTGGTATGTTGCTCTGAAGAAGAAAAAGAGGCTTGCCGGGGGCCATAAAGCACCGCCAGTAAACTACTGAAGACTGGAAGAAGGTCTTATGGAACGATGAATCAAACTTTGAGATCTTTGACTCATCACGCAGGGTTTATGTACGCATTCAAGTAGGTGAAATGATGGTTCCTTGGTGTGTGACACCAACTGTCAAACAAGGAGGAGGAAGCATGGGGAGTCTGGGGCTCTTTTGTTGGATCCTGATTTGGCAACTTGCACAGAGTGAGTGGCATTGAACCAAAACTACTACCACCGTATTTTGCACGCCATCCAATAGCCTCTGGTAGTTGGCTAGTTGGTCAGGGGTTCATCCTACAGCAAGATAATGAAGAGAAGATATTAGGCTTCAAATCATGGAATAGCCAGCACAGTCCCAGCCCTCTGGTTTGGGATGAACTGGACAGGAGGGTGAAAGCAAAGCAACCGACAAGTGCCACACATTTGTGGGAAGAACTTTTCGAACAATATTTGATTTCCGTTGTAGAAAGTGTGCTCGGCTGTTGTATGTGCAAAAGGTGGCTACTTTGAGGAATCAAAAATTTAGATTACATTTTGTTAAAGAAAAGGATTTCATGATTTCTTTTTGATGCCCAATTGCTTATTTATTCTATGCTTTATTTTCAGAGTACATTGAGAACTTGTTGTTTAAACTATTAAATATTAAACTGCTTAAATTTCAATGAAAACTGGAAAAATGGGGGTGTTCTAAAACATTTGACCAGTAGTGCAGGTACCAGGAAAGGAAATTCACGAAAGGAAAGTATACAATTTTCAACTTCCCTGGTACCTTCATGGCATCATACATATGGTAAATAGCTCACTACACAGGGGGGAAAATGTTGAAAGTAAAATGTATGCTGCACCAGCAAAGGAAATTTATAAAAGGTAAGTATAGAATTTTCCAGTATAATAAAGAAAAGTACAGTTAAATCGATTTGGAGTTGATGGTTTTATTTGGATTGAAAGAAAAATATAGTCATTAGCAATTATTTGGACATAGTTAAGGCAATTCCCACAAACAGTTCATATTTTGCAGGTAACCCACATTAGCAGCTGGATATTCAGGGTTTTAGTGATGCAGTTTAGATGCCTGTGTGGACATGCACAATTATGCCTCATGCACACGGCGTTGTAAAAAACATGAGTACAGTACGGAACTCTTTTCGAAACGCACCTGGACTCATGTAATGCTTTTCTATGACTGAATGGACACCCAGATGTTCAGCAGCATCTAAGTTCATTCAGTCTAGCAGTGTTTACCCGAACTAGAAATGGCTGCGTCTCAAGTCAGTTTTGCCTGACTTTACACAGCTAAATGAGCCTAGATGCATGTAAACATGCCTAAGCCCAGCAACAACTAAACACAGGGAAAAAGAGATCTGGAAAGCATAAAGTTGTTTATACCTACCAGATAACTTCTCTAGTGTTTAAAAGCAGCTTGCTCATGTGCATGAGGCCTAAACGATTGCTGAAATTGGGAACTTATTAATCATGTACTAAGAGAAATATGTAAGCTGCCATTGCTAATCCTGCATCTGAAAATGCTGGCTGCCTAGTTGTTATGCCTATCCAGTGGCTTTAAAATATTGCAAGTAACTGATCTGGAACAAGTATGCAGATCAGAAATCGGAGCTTTATAGTGACTTCACTTGCAAGTTGTGTAGGTAAGGAACTCTTGAGAATTCCAAAACCAGGCTACTTGTATTTTTATGGAGGCTAGCAATGGCAGCATCCACATTTCGGTACAGTCATCTTTAAAACTTATGGAGCAGTGTTCACCAGTGATTATTGATATATTTGCTTTGATTTTTGATAAACGCAGCATGTTATTTCTGCTGTGTCTGAACTACATGGTTCCACCATACAGGTAAAAGTGACAACAGATGCAGAATTGGAATGCAACTGATTACCCAAGCTTACCATAATTTTCTTCTCCTGACCTATCTCCATGGCATCACACATGGGTTGACTCAACCCCCTTCTCATCCCTCCAGAACTTTTTTCTATAAATTGGAGTCCCACCCTAGCAGTGGAGTTCTATTAGATACTCCTACTCTGTGATCCATGCCAATAGCATTCTCAGGAAAGCCTCTTTTCCCCTGTTACTCCCTCACAATCACAAATCAAGGATCAGGAATCACAATCAGTTGTTCTGACTTTAACTCTGCAGTAGCCTAGAGATACGCTTTGAGGAGGAACTTGGCCTACTACTGGCTTTGTAAAAGTCTGTCAGACTAGTTCCTTATTGATGTTAAATCTGGATGGAACTTTGGGTAGAAAGTCCAGTCTCAGAATGTCTCTTGGGCAGAAGAATGGCTTTCAGAGCCACCAGGGGACATACTGCGCATGCCGGGTCTATAATTAGGATGCCTCAGATGGTATCTCATTGGTCACGTAGGGGGCACACCTGCCGCCCCCTTGCCAGCCAGAGTGTCCCAGGTTGCTATTCTGGTGACACTTTAGACAGCGTCCCACCCAGCTCCTGGCAACCAGTGACGTCAGTGAGCTGGATGGGATGCCGGACCCAGAGGTAGCAACACCTCCACCCCTTCCTCCCCCACCTGGTAACGAGCATTCTCGTCCAGGTGACGAATAGTGTAGGGACACCCTGCACACATGCACTGAATACATAGTGTGCTTTCCAGCAAACTTTCAGGCCTGGAGGCCCTGATTTACACAAATTCCCATGCATGTGCAGAATGAGCAGCCCGTGGCTTGAGCACATAGCTTGCGTTCCAGCACTTCCTAATTGCACCATCAGAACCACATGACACCCCATCACAGGAAAAAAAATATTTAGAGGGCATGGCAGGAAACATGCCATGCAGGCCAAGGTCACCTTGGCAGAGGCTATAATGAGACAAGAGCAAGAGGCAACCTAGCTCCAAGTACACTGCAGGTAAGCAGAATGCTTTGCACAGCATTTAACCATAGGACAAGCACCATCATGGAAATCATGACAGGCTTTAGCTAGCATAGCAACCTAAGATCAGCCAAGTACTAGGAGACTCTTTTAGAGGCTTAAAAATACATCACCAAAGACCGAATGGTGAGGCAGGTAGACCCATTTACTGAGGCAGGTAGAGAGATCTGACTGAATCTCAAATCTATAGATAATAGTCCTCCAGGGTTGAGCAGGGGACAGAGTCAACTTAAATGTAATGCCATGGAGATGACAGGAAAATGTTTTTAATAAATAAAAAAGGACAATTATGTGCAGCAATCAGTATCAACCAAACAGATTATAGTCATCCTCAATTTAGAGTAGGCAGACCAATGAAAGTGATTTTATTCTATTCTTTAGTTTGGCTAGTTTAGTTTTTATATATTTGTGCTAGAGCTTGTCAAACATTAACATTAGATCACTGTTCAGTCCTAGGCAATCCCGAGGCCCCAACACATCTCCTTTAACACGCAGAAAATCTTATGACAGAGGACAGCCCAGGTAACTCACTCTCTTTGAATTAATAGTGGAAATACTAACTGGGCACATGTATATCAACACTTTTTTTTTTCCAAACATTATTACAGGTGCCCAGATTTTACACCTCCACCTTCACCACCGATGCGCCCTCGTAATGACAAAAATGTGTTTTCCCGCTTGACAAGTAATCAAAGCTTAGGGACAGGATTGGATAAGTAAGAAGCTTAAACCATCTTCCTGATTCCTAATAATTCATTTTCATCATAACCTTTTACCCTGTCTGTGTAACATTTCCCACTCTGTTTCTAACACTGCACTTTCTCTGTAGGTCTGATGAGAGTGACTGCTCTTTCACAGATGTCTCCAGGTACTATGACAGTATTTTGGATTACCTTCCCTGTGTGCATGTTGTTTGCCTAACTTGCCATAATCTTTTTTAACTTTATTCTTTACATCCATTTTCTTATTTTCCTGAGAACAAAAAGAACTATCTTTAAATGTCCACCATAACACATTTCTTTTAATATGTCCTTTACCTTTTCCATGAGCAATAGGTCAAAGTGACCCTTACTATTTCTTTTATTCCATGTAACGGTCACTGCCCATAGAGGCTGTTATAAGCTCCTTATATAATCTGTGTAAAATAAACTTTTATGGTTATTTAATTAAGGGGGGACATGATTTTGATATACAAGATGTTCAAAGGTGATGGCAACATCAGCAAAAAACTTTTTACGGTAAACTCCATTACAAAGACTAGAGGACACCACCTAAAATTGGTGGAGAAAAGATTTAACCACAAGGGGCGTAGGGGCTTCTTCTCAGTTAGAGCGGTTAGGGTCTGGAACTCGCTGCCACAAGCAGTGGTATCAGCTGAGAGTGTTGAATCATTCAAAAAGTATTTGGACAATTTCCTCGGAGACCGTAACATACAGGGGTACAGATACCCGTAAAAACAAGATCACACATGGACTCATACACACGCATACACATGCAGAATTCCACACATACATGCAAAAGGTTGAACTTGATGGACCTGTGTCTTTATTCAACCTCAAATACTATGTAACTATGACTGACAATACACTAGGGATGCACCAATATTGGTATCGTTGCTGATACCGGGCATTTTCACGAGTACTCGTAAAAAATTTCCCGGTGCTAAACGCTAATAGCGGCGCCTTAAATTTTTAAACTAAAGCCGGTTGCTGTAAACAGGGGCTGCAGTTCACAGGAAGGCTGCCGAGGTCTCCAGCAAGTCCTCCCCCCCCCCTCCTAGGACCCCTCACATCCTCCTGAGACCCCGCACAGCCCACCTGAGGCCTCCCACACATCCCTCCTGAGACCTCACAGTGCCCCCCGAGACCCCGTACAGCACCCCAAGACCCAGCACAGCCCCCTGAGAACCCGCACAGCCCACATAAGACTCTGCATAGCCCTACTGAGATACTCAGCTGGAGACATCATGCAGACACCCCAGAGCAGCACAGAGTATGTAGCTTCTGTTTGTAGTAGGGATGCACCATTACTGGTATCGGCACCGATACTGAGCATTTTGGCAAGTACATGGAGCTTAGAGTACTACAGCTTGGAGTCAGTGGCACAACTACCAGGGGTGCAGAGTTTGCAGGTGTGACTGGGTCCTGGTGCTCCACCACTGTCCTAAAATTATTAGTCTGCATTGTTTTAGAAAAACTGTTACAGTAAAGTATCTGTAGTTGGTATCAGCAAGTACTTGAGGAAAAGTATCAGTACTGGTGCTCAGCCTGGAAAAAATTATATCGGTGCATATCATTTATAGACGTAATTTTGATGTAATGTTGTACTGTATTAAATTACACATGGACATAGTTAGATGTAATTTTGAAATGTATTCATTAACAAATGCATTGCTTTTATTTCAAAGCTGCTTAGACCTCTAAATCTAGTAAACACACGAAACTTAAGATAAGTATAGCCTTTTGCACTTGGATCTCTATAACACACCCAGCACCAAAAATTAATATGTAACTTCCCACAACAGATGGGAATTAATATACAGAGTGAAAAAATAGTGCCAACGTGGTGAAACTAACCAAACAATTCAAATTTGCATTTCCTAAATAACAATCAAAAAAACCCATTAAAAAACAAACAAACATATGAATAAGGATCCATACACACTGCGTTAACCTCACCATACTGCGCAACACACCTACCGTGCATTAACAGTGAAGGAGGTGCATTGGGTTGGAATTCATTTGAATGGAACCCCAAATGCACCTCCCGCCCTCAATGCGATTGTTCACACTGCAACGCGCAGTACCGTAATACCGGTGATTATAAAATCGTGCCACAACGCATAGGAGACCGCTGTCAGAATACCCCAATGGAGGCAGCAGCTGCTTGGCTGCCAGCTCCAATTAGCCAAGAGTTTTCTGACCTGCTTCTTCAATCAGCTGAACAAAGGATGTCGGGTGTAAGGGTGCCGATAGTGGCACCCACTGTGCGAATTTTGTCTGGTTCATCAGGAACCAGGCGAAATTCATACCGTGTGTACCCTACTTAAGGTTAGTCCTCTGCTTGCCAGTGCAGGGTTTACAGAGGAACCATATACAGTGTAGTGGTTATCTCCCGCAGCAACCTCATGGTACACCAACTGCTCTGGATACTGACGTTCACTACTAGCAAGTAGATTCTCACGAACCTCTTAGGGTGGCAACACCCCATTGTTTTTACCTCCACCACCCGCTTTAAGGTAGAGGGCCGCTTGTTTGGGTAAGTACGCAAAAAGAGGGTGGGAAGCAAATGTTTTTTGTATCTTTTTTCAGCCCATCTTGCTCTCCTTCCTCCAAGTCCTATCGCAGGAGTGCTCATTCAGGCCATGGTAGCCATTCCTCTAGATCCCTCCAACATAAAGATAGGCCTTGATCCCCACCAAGGAAGAGGGCAGAGAAAAACAACGACATTTGTCACCTTTTCCAGAGCATCCAGACAGACCTAATAAGAATATGTGCTGGGCATGTGGCGATACTCCCTTGCCGGACAAATTAGTTTGTGCAAGTTGCCTAGGTGACATCTCATGGGATCAGCAAAATGAAGGAGCACAAGTGGGAGGATACTCCAGAGTTCCCCAAGAAGCAGAAAAAAATTGTTTCCCTTTTTAAAGAAACAGACCTCCTTTTTTCCTATTATGGAGGAAATCAGGGATTTTGTTACAGAAGAATGGAAGAGGGTCGAGAAGAGATCTATGGGCAGTTGGCAATTTTTAATGCTAAGAGCTATCACTTGCATTAATAACCATATTCCACAAAAAGGGTGCTTTAGAGTAAAACTTTGCTACTGAAGCCAAAACCTTTCTTAGTTTTGCATAGAGTAGAGAGGGATTAGAAACCCTGTCAGGTTTTTATTGTCATCCATGTTCCTGATTCAACCTCATTATTTGTCATGATGACTGTTATCAGTGAAAGTGAAAAAAAATCCCAAATTTTGGGTTGTCACCAGAAAAGGAATAGATGGGAAGTTGTCCAATTGGCACACTAGTTCTGGTGATCCTGCTGACCACCAGGGATTTCTATCTCTCTGGAGAGATTTCCTCTCACTTGCTGTTGTGGCTGCTGGACAGGGAGTGAAGAGAAATCTCCTAGGGCTGCATCGATACCATTTTTTCAAGACCGAGAACCGATACTTTTCCTTAAGTACTTGCCAATACCAATTACCAATATTTTTTTTTAGTGTCATGTGACTGTTTTTATAAAACAATACAGACTAATGATTTTAGGACAGTGGTGGAGCGCTAGGGCCCAATTGCAGCTGCAACTGTGGGTCTCACCAGGGCTGCGTGTGGGTCTCACTATTGCTGTGTGTGGGTCTCGCCAGGGCTGTGCATTCTCGCCAGGGATGTGTACGGGTCTCACCATGGCTGTGCGATCTCATCAGGGCTGCGTGGGGTCTCACTTTGGATGTGCGCTCTCACCAGTGCTGCGTGCGGGTCTCACCAGGGCTGTGCGATCTCACCAGGGCTGCGTGGGCAGGTGTATGGAGGAGGAGGAGGGTAAGATGTTTGGCCAGATCAGCACTGTAAAACAGGCACCTCAAGGTCCCGAGCAAGCGCGGGACCTTAAGGCAGCCGCTTGTGTATAAATATTTAAAGCGCCGATATCAGCGATTAATATCAGGGCATTTTCACGAGTACTCGTGCAAATGCACAGTATCTGCACTGATACCGACACTGATATCAGAATCGGTGAACCCTAGTTATAGCCCTCCCTTACTCTATCCAAGACTAAATCAATTATTGGCTTCAGTTCTACTTTCATGCTCTTTATATTAGTGTTTACAGGTCAAGAAATTAAAACATTGTTTTAGCGTAATTGTTAATGGACTTGCAGTTAACTTGAGACCTTTATTTGAAGTACAGTTAGCATATAATAGAGTAATAATAAAACTGATATCCCTGAAAATCTTTAGTAGCACAAGGAATCTACAGTGTTGCTTGTGAATGAGTAATCAGCATCAGTGTAATAAGTGTTCTAGGCTAGTGCCACATTGCTGCTACTTCTGATTGCATTCTTTTTTCACACATCCAGAGGTTAATCTTAACTAGATTAACCTCTGGATGGGTTATAACTCCAAAAAAGGACCCTTGATGAAGATTCCTATCCAGAGGTTAGTAACATTTAATCTGTAGCTAACCGTTTGACTGCCAAGGGGATGTGTCCTACACAAAAAAAGGTTGTGTCTGGCACAACGTATGTATAAGAGGCATGCATGTTGTCTTCTCATGTATGATGCAGAAGTAAGTATTAACTGCTTTGTGTTTTTGCTTAATATTCCTGTTACATATATTTTTTTTTATTCAGGGGTGTAATCAGTCCTGTTGGAGGGTTAAAAGGTGCCAGAACAGCTCCTCTACAATGTGTTGCTATAGCAGATGGCCATACAAAGCCCGTCCTTTGTGTAGATGCTACAGAAGAGCTTCTGTTCACAGGATCAAAAGGTGAGGGTTTACCACTGTTGAGCTTGAAAAATAAAAATTAAAGTTTGGTTTTAACGACTGTGAAAGTTAGAACTGCCTATTAGAATTTCTTGAAAAAGTGACCATATCAGAAATAAAATTTCCAGTTCAATGCAAAGAGATGGAACAAATCGCATTTGTAGGGCTTGTACCAAACCATGGTCCTCAGCTACCTAAAAAGTAGCCGTGCCGAAACAATGAACAGGAAACCTCTATACTGAGTATTCCTGTTCATTCATAACTTGTTGAGATAGTATGTTTACTGCTCTCCATCCTGACGCACTGTCATAGGAGGCTGAGTGAGCAGTGCGGGGAGGAGAGCCCCATCTCCTCTGACAGCTGATTCCTTCCATGCACGTCCGGCCCGTCCTCCGCTGACAGCTGTCTCCACCCACACTTTGCAGCTCTCCCGATCTGTCACAGGAGGCTGAGTGATGCGGGGAGGAAGGATGCCAGCCGCTGACAGCCGCTGACAGTTTATCTCCTCCCCGCTGGGACACAGAGCTGCGCCCAGTCGGGAGAGAGAAAGTAGGGATGCACCGCTATTTTGGCCGAAAGATGGTACTTTGGGCATTTTGCCAAAAGTGTCATTTTCGGCCGATATGTTTCGGCAGATTAAATTTCCATCCAGATGAAACAATCTAGGACTACATAGCTGAACTGGAAAGTGAGCTGAATTGGAGACATTTTCCAAATCAGCTATGTTGTCCTAGATTGTTCACTACTCCTGCCTTCTCCAAACTCTTCACCCTTCTGTGAATAACCCTGTAAATGTCAAAACAATTAGGGGAATTTTCAAATTTGGAGCAGACAGAATCTGGAGCAGTTGCCCACAGTAACAAATCCGCTTCAAGCTTTCATTTTTAAACCTTAACAAACTGAAAAGAGAAGCTAATTGGTTACTTTGCGCAAGTGCTCCAGATTATGTCTGCTCCCCCCCCAAAAGTATGTATTAATTTGTTATAGTAAGTAATGACAGGGTTATCACCAAATAAACAGGTCCATAGTGAAAACGTAAAAATTGCTCTGGTCCATAAGGGGTACAAATGTATGAGAGCCAAAGTATTTTCCTGTGGTATTCATTCTTTTGGGCAATAAGTTGTAAAAACATATCTTACTCTTATGCTATGTTCCAAGACCGCACTTGCAAGCTATGGAACTTGGTCACCGGTCAAGAAATTGGTTCCCTCCGTGGTCATCCGCACAACGTGGTATCTTTGAAGCACTGTCCCAACTCTGGACTTGTACTTACTGCATCAGCTTCTTGTGTCCGGGTCTGGGATATTCGAGACTCAGCACGATGTGTGCGGACGCTTATGTAAGTATTTCTTTTCTGTAGATGAGTGTTGTACTTTGTGTTAGCCACTGATCAGTGCAAAATGATACCCTTTATAGGTCACAAGCTATTGTTTTGTTGAAAGATGAAGACTCTCATAGCTGATCAGGGGTTTTTGTCAAGCGTTATACAATATTGGGTATAATAACCACAGAACAAAAGGTTCAGTGAAATATACACTAGAGCAGGGGTGCCCACTATTTTTTGTCTTGAGATCTACTTTTCAAATGACGAGCTCAATGAGATCTACCAATGAAAAAACACCTTTATTTAAAAAAACAAGCACATTAAAATCGTTACTGGGACTACTGCTTCTCTCTCTCTCTTCGAGCTCTCTCCCCTATATCTCTCTCTCCTCTCTCTGCTGTCTCTTCTCTCTCTCCTCGTGCTCTCTCCCCTTGCTCTCTCCCATCTCTCTCTCTCTCTCTGCTGTCGTTTTCTCTCTCTGCTGTCTCTTTTCTCTCTCTGCTGTCTCTTCTCTCTTTCCGCTGTCTCTTCTCTCTCTCTTTGCGCTGTCTCTTCTCTCTCTCTCTGCACTGTCTCTTCTCTCTCTCTCTGCTCTGTCTCATCTCTCTCTCTGCTCTGTCTCATCTCTCTCCTGGGTGTCTTTCCTTACCTGCAGTGCAGCAGCTTACCAGGTCTCCTCTCATGTGCGCTGTCCTGTCCTCCTGCGGTGCTCATGTGGCCGACGCTACAGACTAGGAGGGGCCTCCCGCCCCGCACTAGTAATAGTGTGTCTGATGCTGCAGACAGAAAGAGGTGTTCCTTCCCGTCTGCAGCGTCTGACACATTCAGCCGCACTAGCACCGCGGGAGAGAGCTCTGGTCAGTGAGCCGATCGCAATCTACCGGTGTTCGCTTTGCGATCGACTGGTAGATCACGATTGACCTAATCAGCACCCCTGCACTATATGGTATATACATAATAATTAATGATCAGGGCTTAGTAGTGATTTTGGGAACTTGACACACATTTTAGAGAGAATATGTCCTGGCACACTTTTCACCTCATTGTGAGCTGGCAAGAGTAAAATTCTTTCTGGAAGGTTCATACACTTTTGAACTAAGATCTCAAGGAAAATGGGTTTAATTGACACCAGAATCTCAGTAGGGCATTTTACACACATTATTAGATATACAACATTTGAGTAGGTCTATTCTGTACTCCAGTTTTGACCTTTTTCTCTGAGATTATTTTTATAAACTTTATGTATATACTGTACTGTTACTGCAGTTTGTTAAATAAACTAATGTCACTGGTAAATTGTGATTAGTTCTCTTTCCTTTATCAGGTCATCAGGTCAAGTGGTGTCGGGAGACGCATGCTCAAGTCTGGGCCTGCGTTCTGTTAGCAGTCAGGGGGAACTACAGATTAACCAGATTGCTCTAAATTCTGATGGAACCACTTTGTATGTAGCAGCCGGGAATGCAGTGAGAGCTTGGGAGCTGAACAGGTGCAGTTATGCATATTGAGCAAATTGATTGGCATCTTTACACATAATTGCTTTACTGCTTGTTCCACTAATGTGCTTTTTAGCATTACATTATCAGCAGGGTGCTTTGGCTGTTACAGGATACTGTTATAGATGTTAGATTAAAGTGATGCTAAACTTGGGAGTCACATCTTAAAAATGCACTCAAGTACCTGTAACTGTTAACAAAAATGTACTTTATTTGTGTATCACTCAGCTGTAGATCCTCAAATCATCTCTGAATTTGTGTCGACACTGTCCTTCCTTCCATTGGGTGGCTACCTTTGTTCCCCATGGTGTCTGCTCCAAGCTCAGTCCTGTGATAGACTATAACTACAATACAAATTAGCTAACTAAACATAAGATTGGAGGAGTAAGATTGGAGTGGTGACTGCTTTACAACACACACACACAGGGACCGTGGGGAACAAAAGTATCCGCCCTCCAGAAGGAAGGACAGTGCAAGCAGGGCTGTAGCTACCATGGGGCGAGTGAGGCCCGCACCTCGGTCGCAGCCAAAAGGGGGCTCAGCCAGGGCTGGCCTGGCTGCGCCCCCTCGCCCCTGGTGCCATGGCGAGCACAGGGTGCCATTGGCAACAGGGGCGCCAGGCGGCCAACACAGCCCCGGCTCGGCAGGGAGAAGAGGAGCTGCATAGGTTCCAGCTTCTCCTCGAATTCCTGCTGCTCTCCCCCGCCTTTATGGGCAGAGGACTCTGTGTCCTCAATCTCTTTTTCTATTTCAAAAGGGAAATGTCAGGGGTCTGTTTAGACCTCCAATATTTCCCCGAAGCCCCCAACAGTGAAAAAATAATAATAAAAAATAAATGTAAAAAAAACACCCCTCCCCCCCACTCACACACTGATGCACACATATTACTAGACATGTGCAAAGACTAAAAATTTGCTTCAGACGAAATGAACGTAAACTAAAAATGTTTTAATTAGTTTTGGCAAACGAAACAAATTTTTATGCTATTTTGGATTTGGCCCCCAGCACACTCTGCGCATGTGCACCACCATCCTGGAGGCAGGGCGCGTGACATCGCATACCGCACACGTCGGTTGGAGGGCACAATTTTCTGTTCTTGCCAAAGGAGCTAGCTAGGGCTCTGAGTGCAAGCACCAAGTTAGAGATGATTTGAGGATCTACAGCCGAGTGATACACAAATAAGATACATTTTGTTAATAGTTAAGGTACTTAAATGCATTTTTAAGATTCAACTCCTGAGTTTAGTGTCACTTTAACTATCATCATTTGCTGTGTCATCTCTTTACTAGCTCTACTAACCAATGTTTAGCAATCACAATGTAACATAAGCTAAAATTTTAGGTATTATCTGTTTATCAAATTAAACTATCATTGAGGATTTATTGGTCTTTTGTAATGCCCTTTAAAGGAGAATTATTGTGGTAATGAGAAGAGCGTAATGCCGTTTTATACACCTCTGTGGTCTCCGTTAGCATAGACTTGCTCAATACTGTGTTTGTTGGCAGTGAGTGCTGCCTGTAAGTGACCTATTTAAGCACGCCGTTATAATTAGATTCAGGCAATGTCACAAGTGTATTCAACAGAGAAAGTGATGCAGGCTTGTGCCATCCAGGACTATGAAGATGATGTATTTTAGAAGTTGACCTTGTGGCACTGCTTTTTTTGTAGATTGCAACTGGTAATTTCTAAGTATTTGCAAATATTTCCTATATAGAAAAAATAGGTTATTGTTATGTGCAAGGTAAAATGTTTATGTTCATTATATGCAAGCCATCCAGATATGTTATCAGAATTTTAAGTGCTATTTACAGAGTTTGGGAGCTCTTAAGAATGCAATCCTATGGAAAACAATGCAATACACTGATTCGGCAGTATTTTACACCTGCCTTTAGTGCAGCTTTTTTTTTTCATACCACTGCAGGTTTCAGCTCATTGGGAAATTAACGGGTCACATGGCTCCAGTCATGTGTTTGACAGTCAGCAACACACCGAATGGGCGAGACCTAGTAATCACCGGATCCAAAGATCATTATGTGAAGGTTACTCATTTTCTCCCCATTTGCATTTTTTTTTAATTCACCACCCCATCAATTGATGTAACATACCTGGGTAGAGAGTATTACCTTGTAACATTAAATGTATAGTTTCATTGAAATGTAAAGGGATTGTACTGCACATTATATTTCAGATATCAATAGCATGGGTGCCCACAGGGAATCATTGAATGCAGATATTGATTTATTTAACATAAATGTTATGTAGAAATAAAAAAAAAAAGTATCAACTTAAGTCACACATGCACACACCTCTCAATTTTAGAAACATTGATTGATAATTAGAAGAGAAAGTTCTATATGCAGACTGGTGTGGTGCATTTTGTTGTGCACTAGTATTAAAAGTAGAGTACAACGGTTTATTAATGTATCGCATGGAAAAGAAAGATGCTAATAACCCCCACACATTTGTTCTTTCTTTTTTTCCCATCTTTCTTCTGTCTCTCCACTTCTGCCTCCCCCCTTCACCCTCTTTCCTCCTCTTCCCTGCCTGCCTTTCACCTCCCACCCAACCCTGTCCTACTTTTTGAAACTGTCACACAGCAATTTCTACATGATTTAGCATGGCTTGTGCAACACTAGATAGAACTTGTCTTATAACATTGCTAATATTTACATCACAAACCTACAAATTTCCCTTTGTTAATTTCCCCCCATAGAGTCCCAATAATTGTACTATTGACTCCTCTTTAGCTGATTAAATGAGGAATCCTTCTACCTTATGCCGTAGTATGGTTCCAGAAAAGATGGTGTGCCAGGAATTGTAGGCATTGCTCCACTGTCCCTACAGAGCAGTTACCATCTGCAATCATTATAATGGAAAACACTGTGCCTCCAGACTGAAAGGAACTCTGCTTTTGATGTTTACTACAATATTGCATTTGAAGGATGGTATAATGCTTTTGTTTTGTCAGTGGGGTTCTTCATTTTTTTAAAATTAATTGATGAAGCTAACCTAAAAGTTTTTTGATTTGCAGCTTGCGTATTGCCACCATAGCCTGTGCATATCTAAGCACAGAGCCTGTATGCATATGGGCGTTTGATGGGGAAATGTCACAGAGAATAATGATAGTCCGCATCTACACATTTTACAGGCTAGTTTTGTTCTTAGAATGTTTGTGGGGAGAATCCTACTAAAATAGAACTCCATTACTCGTAAAAATGCAGATGGTTTTTAAAAAGCGATATTGCTGCTCTGCACGTTCAGTGGAGGAATATGTAAATAAATGATATATGTATGATACAGACAGATGGAGGATCTGCTTTGGACTAGCTGCTCAGGGTAATTTAATTATTCCACATTGTATGTTTTTTTCTCTTACTGACAGAGGCCAACAAATGAAATCAGTTATATGTGATTATAGTGCACACTTACATATCCATAAGACAACAGACAAGAAACTTCCTTAAAGCTAACATTCAGACAAAAACACACAGCTCCAACTAATAACCTTTTAACCCTGCACATAAAGGCAGTATCCCCCCTACCTATAACTTGGAGCCTCCACATTATGATGGCATTGAGTGCTTGGCTGTACAGGATAATATCTTGTGCAGTGGTTCTCGAGACAATGGCATCAAGAAGTGGGACCTACAGAGGCATGAGCTCATACAGGTTTGTTCTGGGTTTTTGTAATCCTCTTGTTATCTACATATAAGCTGTAGCAGGCACTTTTTACAACAATCCAGACCTCCCAAAGTTTTGTAAGACAGCATGAGATAAAGTAAGTGATATATTAAAATGTGTGATGCATTGTCCTGTTATTTTGCCAGCAGAATTTTTTTCAATCATTTTTTACATTGCATTGACATTGCATTACTTTTCCAGCTCCAAGACTAGACTAGAGAAAAATCCAAAAGTTAGGAGACGGCTGTCATTTGTAAGGAGCACACCGAGCACCTGGGATTTGTACATCTCTGTTTTAATGTATGATTTTTTAAAATAAATATATATAAGGGATGCACCGCTACCAGTTTTACAAGTACTGATACTTGCCCAAATACTCACAGATGCAAGTACTGATACATTTTTGTTTATTGTCATGTGACAGTTCTTCTAAAACAATACAGACTAATGATTTCAGGGCAGTGGTGGAGCCCCAGAGCCTGGACCCAGCTGCAACCCTGGAAGTTCTCGTGGAAATGCCAAGTATCGGCACTAGTATCTGCATTGGTATCTGAACATCCCTACTAAATGTTGATTATTTTTACACCCAGGGACAGCGTTTACAGGCATATTTGATGTTTGTAGCCAGTTACAAATATGTAAGAGCCCAGTTATTATCACAACAAAATAATAACTATCTGTTAACTACCAATATGTTTCCAGCAAGTCCCAAATGCACACAGAGATTGGGTCTGTGCTTTGGGCTTTGTGCCAGGACGTCCTATGATGCTCAGTGGCTGTCGCAGCGGTACTCTAAAAGTCTGGAACATGGAAAATTTCTCACCTATTGGAGAAATTAAAGGCCATGAGAGTCCCATCAACGCTATGTGTGCCAACAGTCATCACGTCTTTACCGCATCCAGGTAAGAAGGGAAGGTACTTAAAGACATACCAGAGTAGTAGTGAGAGCAAAGAGAGAAACACAGATATGCTTCACAATTTAATCTGTTACATTCATTCTTTAGTTTATATGTGTACGTTTCTATTTTAGATGTTTTTATCCATCTGTACTGCTTTCTGTGTTTTAGATTTTCTATCGTTATCACTAACATTCCTTTCATTCCACTGACCTTCTTTCCTTTCTGTGCTTTGTCTTTTCCTCCTTTTCCACTATTTCCCTCTTTTGCTCTTGTCCAAACTACTGTTCTATATATTCCCTTCCCCCCTCTCTCTCTCTCAGTGACTGCCGGGTCAAGCTTTGGGTCTATGTTCCTGGTCTTACTCCATGTCTCCCAAGACGTGTTCTGGCAATCAAGGGCCGAGCCACTAGCCTTCCGTAACCTGTCCATCTCTCACCTTCCTATCTTTCCTCTTATGCCCCTTTTAATACCAGCGTCCCTCCACTCTGTTCATTTAAGGTACGGGACACTCATCTCCTTAAAAAGTGTTGTGACAATTCAGACAGCTTGGTCTGTCTACAATACCTCTGCTATCTGTTACCAGATTTAAGAAAGAAAAATAAAATTCAGCAAGTTCTCATGACCTCTGACCTTACAGTGATCTCCTGGTGAAGATATGGAGTGGGAGAAGACGTTTTGCCTGGACTAGGTGACCCTTATGACCTCTGAAGCTAAACGGGGTAAAAGCAGGGCTAAAAGACTAAGGATGCGGAAGACATTTTGTCATTTATTTCATCAGAGGAGCACGCAGTTTGTGACCACAAGGAAGACCTTAAAATGATGTTCTCTATTCGACTTAGCACTACCTCTATAAATATTATACACTATAATACACCATTTAAGCCTATGTAGTGTTACTGTACTTTTCTGAGAATAAGAAGGCAAAATGGGAAATCAACAATCAACGCTGACCAGAGAACAAAATAAGAGAGTGATAAGAGATTAGAGCCTAGTGCATCAAACTTCTCCCAGCATGCTCCACTTCTACAAAAACTGTGCCCCTTTTATGTACTTGAAATACTGTCTATTTTGCCTTACTGTATTTCTTTAGTATGTTCTTACTATGAAGCAGCACTTTCCATCCCCTGGGAAAGCACACTATGACCCAACTGCCAGATACAAAAGATGAAATACTGTAAATCTTCTCCATTAAGTGACTGAATACAGCCTAATCTACTGAGAATGGAGTGGGAAAGAGGAAAGGAGGTTAACCTTGATGACAATTCAAATGTATACCTCTAAACATACTACCTCTTAAGCTTCATATTGACATGCTAGCTATCTATGACCCACTTGGAAATACAAGTCGGCAGGTTGAAGGTTGTACTGGCAGCAAGGGTTACGTTGCTCTGTATAAAGTGTTAAATAATTTTATTTAAAGCACAATTTCTACATTTTGTCTGTGAGTGCCAAGTGTTCATGTGTCAATAAAGATTAAACTGGAAAAAAGGATCAGCACAAAAAAGTTTCATTGGAAATCTGTGTTTAATAAAAATGTATCTGGTACCCTTTTGTATACGTTTATTTCAAGGTTAAATCTACTGTAAAGTGAAAGTCCAGATTTGCTATTAAACAAATTACCCTCCAAGTAAACTATAAAACAATGCAGCTTTATTGCTCCAAGTGCTTTTAGTTCATCACTTTACATAGTTGCACATTCACATCAGTCCCTATCTCACAAGCATACCTAGAGGGCCAACTTAGAGAGGAGCCAATTAACCTTCCAGCATGTCTTTGGAATGTGAGAGGAAACCGGACTACTCGGAGGAAACCCACGCAAGCACAGGGAGAACATGCAAACTCCTTGCAGATAGTGACCTGGCTGGGAGTCGAACCGGGAACCACCAGTGCTGCAAGGCAGAAGCGTTAACCACTACACCACTGTGCTTGCTCAATTGTTCAATTAAACAAGAAGCACAAACAATATAAAAGAAGAAACAAATACAAAGTAATAGTCACAACAAATACACCACAAGAACAAAGAATAAGGCCAAGGCACATATGTAGGAGTTGAGATAAATAGAACTTTACATAAGAGTAGTTGTAACTCATGCGGCCCACTGTGTATTTATGAGTTTTTGTCTTTGTCTCCGTGTCCCTCTGAATACCAAGGGAAGCAGTAGGCTCACCGCTGCACTGTTTGCCAAAACCCTTTATCTCTCCTCCAAGAAACAGGTAAGTCAGATTGACATTGAGGCCCTTGGGATACACTGCATCTAGTGTGTAGATCCAATGTGCCTCTCTTTGGAGAAACATTTTGGCTCTATTGCCACCTCTAGGATGTCTATGCACCTGTTCTATCACCATGCCTTTGAGTTCGTGTGTTTGATGCTTCTCTGTGGCAAATTGAACAGGCTTGTTGAGATCTAACTCCTCTCCTTTAGACAATTTCCCTATGGCTATACGAATGTCACTTCTGTGGCTTTAGTAAGTGCCTGCTCAATGACCTCAATGGGATACCCCCTTTCTCTAAATGTATCATACATGCGTTCAATCTGTTGTGCACGCACACTATGGTCTGAGCAAATACGCATGACCCTCGAGACCAGCAAATTGTCTCTCAAGTGTTGGGGGTGGGCACTATTGTAGTGTAGATTGTATTCCTATCTGTGGGTTTAGAGTATACAGATGTCAAAAACGTGTTGTTAGTGATGGCAATTGAAAAATCTATAGAGGCAATCTCTATATCAGATATGCTTGGGTTGAAGACAATACCTGGCAATAAACTGTGACTCAGACGGCAGCTCTGGGATTAATTTTTTTTTTTATTCTCACACACACATTAATTATCACTTTGGGTTTTCACTTATATGTCACTTATATTTGTTGCTCCATCCATAATTTTCCTGCCTAGTGGATTTTGCATACCCTGTACACAATGTTGTTGTTGTAATGCAATCATTTCATCTGTACATAGTAAACTTTTAAATCTCAATAACACACAGGGGGGCACTGTCCGAGTGGGGCAGAGCAACCCTCTTTATATTATGGACATGTGCAAACGGTGCATAGGCGGTTGCATTATAGGTGCATTGTTGATTGATATACTATTGCATTTCTGCCATAAGGCTTCATTATTGCCTGTTTCTGTTATAGGGTTTCATTACAGCCTTTTTTTACATTGGGCACCTCCCACAGTAATTATACACCTAACAGCCAGCGTTTGATCTCATTTTTATGATCAAACTGACTGTATGAGTGGCTTACTATCACTCCAACGCTCAAGGTATAATTCGCATTGTGAGCCCCTGGGCTACTGATCCATACTGTGCAGTGGGACAGCTGTCAGATCAGCGAGCGGACGAGACGCCCCTGTACCCACACGGCACATGCGCCAGTGGGCGGGTCAAGCGGCCACAGCTCTGGATGTTAAGAGCCGCTGTATAGCGTCATGTTGCCCAGGCAACCAGCACCGCTTCATTCCCGGTGCGCTCGCAGCCCTGACACTTGATACCGCTCTGCACTTCATCTTACTGTCTCTAACCCAGACTATGTATTTTGCTACTGGATGAGTCACACTTATATGTGCTGTTGGGAGTCACTGAAGGCCGTGACACACTGCACGCGAAGCTGTGCAGAGTGAAGCAAAGCTATCCGGCACGGAGCTTTGCGTGCAGTGTGTGAGCTGAGTGCAGTCAGATGATTGACAGCACCTTCAGCCAATCGGCTCTTCCGTAACAACCTGCCAGCTGTCGCATCGCGACGCGCTGGTTTATACGCGCAAGCCGATTGGCTGAAGTTGAAATTATTCATCTCGGCACGCTCAGCTCCGCGAGCTCTCGCAAGCTGAGGTGCCAAGCAGAAAATTACATGACACACTGCTCGCAAAGGCAGCGCGCCCCCGCTCCGCGCTGCTTCGCCTGCAGTGTGTCACGGCCTTGATGGTTCAATAGATATGGCTGGTATTTACATCATTCTGCACACGTCCTTTTCAAATACTTAACGGCAGGTGTGACGTCATACCGACGCCCTAGGTGGATGGGAGTGGTTTCACAGCACTCAGTTGATTGGTATGTCTAGGTATATATTGTTGTATGTCTTTCACTTCACTGTTATCTCTAAGCCTGATGAAGGGGACCCTGCGAGGCCACCGAAAGCGCTTGCCAGTGAGATACAGCTATTGGCAATAAAATATTTTGCTTTTTCAACTTATGGTGTGCTGGTGACATTTTTCTATTGTTCATGTGTGGCGGTGCCATCCGCAGTCATTTCGAGTACCCATCTTCATCAAGTGGGAATCTCGGTAAGGAGTGCGGTATGGTTCCTGTTTCTGTTTCTGTTTATATGTGGGTACCTAACGCCTCACTTAGGACAAATAAAATATAAAAAAAACGTAAAGAAAACACTTTTTCCCCCAGTTTTGATTTGTAGTATTTTTTACAAAAACAGCACAGCTAAAAAAAAATGCAATAAATACATTCTTGTATTTTAGCTGTTTTAAACTAACATTTTAATCTTTTTTCTCCAAAGCTAAAAGTGGTCACCTGGCATACAATGTCACTGTCACGAAGTGTCACACTTAGTGACAGCGACATACTTTGTACATCACTGTCATGAGGGTTTTTTTTTTTTAAATTTACCCCTTAGGGTGAAAAACAAATCTGCAGCTCAGCTGCAGATTTTCATTGTAAGGGGTCAATTTTTATATAAATAATAGTATAAAAATATATTTAAATATATCATTTTAAACCCGCCGAACATCGTATGATGCTCGGCGGGTTTTCGAACATGTCCGTAAGTTTAAAGTCGTGCGACCTTACAGTAGTAGAGGTCGCACGGCTTCCACACACCTTACGATAATCGTACGATCGCGGGATTTCCCACGATTATCGTAAGGTGTGTGGGCACCCTTAGTAACACTGATCCTGCAGCATTTTAGGATCAGCTGTCACTAAAGGTTTTCTGATCGTTCCAACAACGATCAGAAACATTCTTTTAGGAATAGATACATTATGTTTCTATATATTAGTTTTCAGAAGACAAAAAAACAAAAGTCAAAAATGAGCACTCAAAACAAAAAATGAACAGTGCACGCAGGAGAAACAGTGGGGGAGAAAAAAAAGGAACCTTGCAGAGCTCCAGCTTTGACGCACATATAGCTAAGATGTAGGGAGAGCTTCCACCGTTAAGACGGATGAACATAATAAAAAATAAATAAAAAATGAAGCTTTAAGGAATGTAGATTCCTCAGTTGCTGAAGTATCAAAACACAGGCCTGTGTTTAGGGACAATGTAGACCCATCAGATGAGAACAGGTCAGATGTAATCAGGGTTTGGCATGCTTCTTTTTCAGGGTGAATTTATCCAGCCAGGCGCCTGGGAGGGTACTTCAAAAAAATGTGTCTCCCCATCGGCCACCACCCTCAATTTAGCAGCATAGATCATTGAATACAGAAAATTAAGTTGTAGACGTTTTTAATATCCTGAAATCTAGCTTGTTTCTTTTGAATTTCCTGAGAGAAGTCCAGGAACAGCATCACTTTTGAACCTGCAATAGAGATTTTGCCTTTCTCTCCAGCCTTGCGAAGGATGTGTTCTTGATCCCTGTAATTTAGAAGCCTAATTCCAGTAGGGAGAGGGCGAGAGCGGACTCTATGAGCCCTTTTCTCTGCAAATAGAGGGGAGAGAGATTCTTTCAGGGATTCCCATCACACAAATATTATTTATGCAAAGACGGTTCTCTATATCGT